TATTAATTACGTCTCTTTAAATTCTCAAGTGTCTCTTCTAGACAGCAGTGAGACTCCAGTAATCTCACGTCTACTGAAGAGATCTCAACACTGTCTCAAACTTTGCTAAGATACAGTCAGAAGGTCTGACTCTGCAGTCAAAGGTCAGATGTCAATATCAAACATTCCACATCAAATTCATCCAAGACTGAAGAATGGACAGAAATCTTATGGACTCCAATTTTTATTTTATTTCTTTAATTTTTCGGTCTGTACTATTCTATTTTTATAGAAAAATATCTGTATATTTTTAATAATAATATATACTCATTAATACTATTATCAAGAAATAAAATATTATTTTGTCTTGATTTAATTATATATACACACACATTGTTTAGCTATATAATTGTATACATATATTTATCCTATAAAAATATAATAATAATAATGCATTTTATATATTATACAATTTTCGCTGACACAGTAATGAGCAAGTTATAGTACAGTGGAGGCGACCAAATTTTGTTTTTAGCCTCCTCACATGCACTTCATTTTTTAGGATCTCAATGAAAATGCAAAGAGCTCACTTTTTAGTCAATTATATATATATATATATATATATATATATATATATATATATTCTTAATTATTTCTTCTATGAGAAAACGAAACAAATATTTTTAATACCATTATAATATACAGTGGGTATAGAAAAGAATCACCCCCTTTAAAATAATTCAAATGAGCACAGCTGACCACAGTTGAGAGTCAAATGGCTTTGTTTTGTGTGTCATTGAGAAGGTGATGAGCTACACCTGATTAAGTTTACAAGTCAGTTTTTAGGAGGGGGGTGATCCTTTTTCCAACTCAGCGATTCTGTTTTTTTATTTTTTCTGACATATTGGTGTTTTATCTTTGACTTGGATGTTATAAGCTGCACTGAGTGAATACAGCTGGATAAAACATAAACTGTGTCCGTCTTCGTTTCAGGCTGCAAAGCCACAAAATGTGATTATTTTAAAGGGGGGTGATTCTTTTCTGTACCCAGTGTATTTGGAAAAA